TCCTATTGAGTGTTGTTCTTCTTCTCTACAGATGGTGAAAACACCATGAAAAACATCGTGTACCATACAGGTAAGAACATCCCAGGAAGTTAGTGCTGTTCATCAGAAGAGTCCAGACTGAAGAAGTCACTTTGATGACTGATGAAACATTTCTCCCACTAGAAACGCTTCATCCAGATGCAGAGAATCAATTAATGGGGACCATTAAAAATACCAATAAAATACAATTTATGAGGCCTTATGTAGGAAAAGTTCTTCAATCCCTGTTGCGCTCAGTTCAGCGCACTGAAACGCCCTTATCAGCTGTAATGAGTCCTGTAGGCATCATCAGTAGGCGCCCGCTTTCACTTACTACCAAGCTCAGTATTCAGTTATCCTCCATTGTAACCAGTGATAAACCAGAAGCTATCTAAATTACAAAGGAGACAGCTAGCCTTTCTGTGTGCTTTGTAAAACGTGATTTATAATCAGGATCTTTTCTTAATCTTAACCAAGCAGTTTTGACGCTTTCACCTACTGAAACTAAAGTGAACAGGATGTGGAAAGCAAATCAAACAAAACCTAAAACATCAGACTCTTGTTTGGTTTAATCTGAAGAACTTAGCCTATTATCTCCATTCAGAAAGACACAATGACAACCAATGAGGAGTGTCTATACCTGCTGACTAAACAGTACAGGAAACATTGGACTGATAATGAGAAACGGCAATTCAATAGGCTAAAGTTTGCAACGGGTGTCTGTTTAACATCCTCCGTTTTATTCTTAAACTCGGGTTTGCTGAAGTCAGGTCCCAATTAACTGCTTTTACCATCCGTTGTGTCAGCAGCTGTACTATGAGAACAGCAGCACTGCAACGTGTGTCTGTGCATTGAATATTCTTGAAGGCCAAGAAACTTAAGCAGTCATGTCATGGCCTTTCAATCGGAGCATATCCACTCTGTTCGAAGCCAGATTAATAAGAATAAGGAGAACAACCACGCAGATCATCAAACAGTTTGGGAAATAATCTAATAATTAGTTCTGTATAGACTTCACAGAACAGGTCTCAGAAATTATTAAGTTTCAGCCGTCATCAGGACCTACCTGGTCAGACTGTTGTTTGGCAACATATATTGTAATTTCAAAAGCAACCCCAAGTTTAATTTGGTATTTTTTAGATCTATATACACCAATCAACACATCACCAAAACCTCTATACTGAGAGGTCTGCAAGCAAAGGAGGATTTTTACAGCAAAAGTCATGTCTTCTATCTTTAAACCCTTAAACCTATAAATGGATCAGGGAAAAAAACACAGTACTTCAAGAAAAAGCCCTGTGCTTGCATGAGCCATCAATATTTGTGAGAGGTTCAATTCTTATGTTTTGGCAGTTGGCCTGGCGGTGTGAGTGCATGTGTGAGCCTGCTGAGTGTGGGCTTTTTTCTGCTTTGCAAGTAACATGGAAGTAAGAAGCATATGAAACCTACTGTTCCAGTTCACTGTCTGTCTACAGTGGTCTACAGTTTAATCTGTCTCCATCTTCACATCAGACATGCATGGTTGACAGTTTGGTCTCAAATGACAATGTGATGCTAACAGTGAACATCCACTACAAGGAGCACCTGAGGCTCACTGAGGTTTTCTGCACCACCAAGGCGAAGCCAGCAGCAAGCAGATCTCCTCCACATGCCATTTAAATTACTTCCTTAGCTAATGCTAAGTTACTATCACGTGATGCAACCAAAAACTTTGCTTCCCTTTTAATTTTAAGGTACATTAGCACAAAAGGGTCAAACAGCATGAGGGCCATTAATCACCAAGAGGAAAAACGTTGTTGAGATTTATGTTCAAACTTAGTTTCCAGCCTGTATGACTTTTGGTCTCTTGTGAAAATAAAAGATTGGAACCAGCGGAGCCCGAAAATTCCCACAAGATACGATTTTGTAAAAAAAGGGATGTCTGGATATTTTTACGTCACTGTGTTGGAATGAGCGAGCACGTCTGGATCACCATCTGGACGCTCAGTTGGCTTTTTATGTTGAGGTGATGCTGACTGTCAATCTTATCAGCAAAAACCCTGAAACCTGTTTCTTCCGTCTTATAGCTGAGGTTTTATTTCTGCTTCATTAGAGGCAGTTATGCTATTGCTAACAGACAGGTGGCAAGAGTCAGCAATTTTACAATTTAAGCTTGTACCCCTTATTTGACCTCGTTTGATTTTTCTGCTTCCAGCTGAGTTTTCTTATCTGAAAAAGAAAAAAA